TTTATGTTCCTTACAAACTGGATTCGGACTTCGCTTACTGTCAACCTGAGTAAACAACTTAACAAAGATATGACACGTCTACTAGAAAGTGGTTTGCAACAGAATGATCAGAAGATGGCGTCTGCTTGCTTGTGTTCCGAGGCAACAAATGAATGTGGAGGGGAACCTCCCTACAGACGATAAGAGTTTCCCACGTCAGTTGTAAGACATGCCTACCTAATACTTCGTAATATGAATAATTTCCGTTTTAGCCAAAGGACGTTATTTGCTTAGTAAATGGGCAAATGCCATATCTTTATCCATACGCCAATGATTATTCTGAGAACCAACCGTTAAAAATCGTACTCAAACGTTTATATTTGACATTTATGCATATTTGAAGGCCCGTAAATTAAGCCAATAACAATTTTTGTTTTATAACTTAGCTTTTTTTGATCGAGGCAATCGAACCTTAATCAGCCGGATTTGTCCGTATGTGCAAATCATACCCAAGGCATATAAGGCGGGCCCGCCAAAATACAACGGCGAGTTTAATAATCTGTCTGTGGATATCGCCTGTTCAATTGATGACTAGCATCCGACGACCTGACAATAGCCATTTACGACTAAAGTGAAACCTATTTGACGTTTGAAGCAGGACTCTCTGTTCCATTTGACGGGTGCATAAAGAGCGACCGATTGATCGTGAAGCGGCGATCGAAGGCAGTAACAGACACAAACAATGATACTGACCCAATTTAGTCCCAACAGGATGCAACGTTCGATCCGACAGTGGGCTGTGGCCAGAGGTTGTTTCAGATCGAATATATCAGTATGGGTATAATAAAGCAGCAGATGCTCTTTGTTACAAACAAAATGTTAGAAAACGCAGTTCAGCTAAAACGCTAACGAATATAAATATGATCATAGATGGAGACCATTATATTATTTTGCTATTCATATCAGAGCTTGAGTTCAAAATCAGATTCACAATAGTCGTACCTTTTTGTGCACATATTGCACATAAGAAAAAAATACGATTAATTCTCCAGTCGACCATTCTATTTTAAGACGAGATCACACTAAACATTCCCAGATAATATATTGATTTGTAATATTGTAGTTACCCTATCTACAGATACTTGGGCCTAATTAGACTTTTTAAGATTTTCTTTATTACCTGTAGCGGAATGCGAGACCGGAAGCAAGGGCTCATCGATTAAGCAAAGTAGGAAATCCCTTTGTACATCTAGTCTGCACTCATAGATAAAGAATTTTGTGCCTTAAATTTGAAGCAGTCACTGGAAGCATACAACAGTCGTTACCAATTGCCTAATTCTGTGAAAGAAAAAAGATTGTAACCCGCGGCTAATACTTCTCCTTGTATATTGGATCATCCCGAATTCGAGTCGTAAAACTTTATCGTAGGTCTGATTCAGAAGAAAGCCCACATCAAAAAGGAGCCCACTCCAATCGCACGCCAAAACCCGCAAAGAGCAGGCTTCTATTACAGAACATGAGCTTCAATGTGGAGCACTATTTGCCCTTGTTTTTCCGTCGGTTGTGGGTTCTTACATTTGTGACATATGGACCCAAGTTGTCTGTGCTTCTTTAGGAACCAGGAGCTGTGCCAAATGTGTTGTTTCTTACATTAGTTACGACCATTGCTACTACCCGCGTCTTGTTGCTATGGTTACGGGCGCCGTCGTGACCATGTAATGATGTTTTATGTCCAAGAGTCGATATTATTTACACACAATTACAGATGCTGCTACCGCCGTAGGAAGTAATTACATTTTTTATCTTAACGATCTCTTTGACGTTGGGCCGTATTAAGCCTATGCTAACGTTAGACTGACGCAGTGTACAGAATAGGCTATCGATTACGCCATTCCGCTCGGCCCTGTGAATATATTCGAGTAATTATCAAACCACATTTTTGTATTGTATATAGTAGCCCTTAAGAATCTATTCTAGCTGAACGACCCATTACTCTCAACTGTATCCTAGACAATTGATCTGAGAGCTAGTGGAAGTTCGTTATAGAGATTACAACATCTTTTTTCGGAAGCATTTTCCTGAAGATTTAGACAAGAGTGGCAAAAGAAAAGAAAGCGCATGCTCTCAGTAGGTATTGAGAAAGTTTTACAGGTTGATTCCACGCCTTGCAGGCTCCCAAAGATGACAAGGGGGTTACTTCTCCTATTTTCTAAGGCTGTGCATTGGCCCATAAGCAGATTAATTGCCATTAGACCAGATAGGCTCTAGCTCATCACTGAACCATTCCTGACGACTGGTTTGCAAAACGATAATGTTTATATTGAGTTTCTCCAGTTTCGAGCACAACAAGCGGTCGGCTAGCTCTCCTCTTCATAAAGAATTTTAAATGTAGGTACTAGGACGGTAAATTGACCTGGCTGTCCTTGACCACTCAATCGACGGCATTGAGCTATATTGAATATATAAGCATGCCTCAGGGTATAACTACATTGCTCACCTTTTAATTAACCTTTGAACAACATGCTAGAACTTCACGATCGGCACCGCTATGACCACTAAACCTTGCTCAATTGCAATGTCTTACTCCTCAAAGGCCGTGTGCTCCGCCAGTTTATCTATGTTTGTGTGGGCTGCATGTCGAGCATTGCGTGTTGCAATACAAGCATTTCTACTTGCATAGACTGGCCGTCTGCGAGATAATTTACCAAGGCCGAAAGACATTTGTGACCCAATCATGGGGCTGGAAGGAATCCCGAACCCCAGACTGGACAGAAAGCATAGCAACTACTCATTGTCAACCGTTGTTTGTCGTGAAGTGAATCGCCACTGGATCATGCTAAGCCAATTCTTGACCGCAGTCCTTTTGAGGGATAGAGCAAATATCGGCATCTCTGCTGAAATCTCGTCCGGCTGAAAGACGCCGGAGCACGGAGATGGAGAACCATTGTATATCTTTAGTTTCGACGACAGGATTTCGAATCGAATAGGATCGGACCCAGTCGAAGTCGTTTTTAACGCACTGGAAGCCCTAGACGTTGTTTTAACTAATCTCATATTTTGTGTATTATATTATTATTATTATATGTGTACACCTACGCGAATGTCGACTTCCCGATCCAAGAAGAATATGACAGCAAATCCATCCTATGACTCTGCCTGTGTGTACATGAAGCCTGGCATAGAACAGACTTGGGAAGTCGCCGATTTCTATTCCCCCTAGGACAGGGCCATATCCGTTAAATTTTCAACGCCTCCAGCTAGCTGCCAGATTCTAAGCCGATTCTTGAGGTCTATGGACGCTGGCAACACTCACTGATGAGCCGCTACACAGAGTCGCTGGACTCTGCAAGGGGCGGGTCATCGAGGGCCCGCACCCGCCTTGACAACGCCTGCCCGCTTGCGCCGTGTTACTTAAGGGATATTTGAATCGCAATCAGTCTATTTAGCCAGGACCGCCCACTGATCCTGGTTGACTGGAGAAAGAAAACTGTGCCGACGACGTGGACTCTAAGTGACGGGAAGAAGGAAGTGTTTGAAAGGATTCAGGAATGGCAAATCGATAGCACAAACGTAGTTAGGATAACGTCGCTACGTTCAGTAGTCGAAATCGATTGTTTCCGGAAGCAGGCTACCTTCGAAGGGGTGACGCATACAATGCGTAAACAACTGAAAAAAGTCAAGCATAATGGGTACTGGACAGGGTGGCTATGGCCAACCGCGAGACAGTTTGATGCTCTGCGGTGCTTCGGATAAAAGCCATTAATAGACCCTACCAGGCTACCTTTACTGTCTATGTGTGAGACAATGGCGCTATAAGGTTATAATATAGACTGCAATAGCTAGGTTGTTGACATTCAAATCTTTTCATTAGCTGATATTATTTATACGCAACGTTAGCTGTATATATCATCTGTAAACATGTACGTAAATGGAAATAAGTTTAGCGCCTAGACTATAATTGTTATTACTATTACGAGCAAGTATCGATGAGAATTTGAAGAAGACAAGGCATGCGTAAACGTCAGTCGCTCAGATTTGTTACTTGATTTACCTAGCTGCTACGAGTTTACCCCAACTTCCTATCCTGCTACGTAAATATTAAGTTAACTCCTGCAAATGACACAATTTCTGTTATGTTGACAAAGGATCGCAGGTTCAAACTCCGCTGGAATCTATCTCTCAACCTACCTCTTTGGTATAATCTCGCGAATGATAGTTGTGAAAATGCTCAAGGTTTTATCATTTATGACGAAAATGGGCACTTCTTACTGGAACTTCTGTTTCAAAGCATATGGTGCAGAAGCGTCTCAATTTCACTAGGCTTCCACGACACCCGCCGCCAAACTGTCGTCTGCTTCGTAGGCTAAAATAATCTCTAACGAATCGCATTGACCTAACTGCACGTCACAGTTTACTTTCCACTTACTGCTGTCACAATTACCCTCATGTTTCGTTCAAAGCGACATAGTGACTACCACTTGTAGAGATTAGTATATATATATATATATACTAAGGAATAGACGTGAATTGTCTCAAGCGAAAGGTATCTCCAAAGGACAATGTGTGATTTACACGACTGCGACAACGTCGATTGATGTATAAGGTCATTAGCGAACGTTTACGCAAATTCGGAAGGCTACCTCATACCTATATTCGGAGCCCAGTACACGCAGGAACAGGCCATCCATTACGCCCCGCCCTCATTTACATTACCAGTGTAACGCCCCAGCTCGACGTGACAGTTTGCTACTATTTCGAGCCGGCTGGCCTGTAAGAAAAGACGCCTGTCTCAGTCAACCGTTACAATCAATAATATACCGCGAAGTGTTTATTGTGCATAAAAATGAAAACTCCTTATCACGTAAAAAGGAATTCATGTGAAGCACACTTCAGATGTGTTCGTGATAATCGATTAAACGGTGCTAACTTGTCTGCATCTGTCGCCACTACTTGAATTTAATGAAATTTCGATAAATAAACAATAAATTCGACTCATGTCTAACGCGTTTCCCTTTTTACAGGGTGAAGTGGCGCGGGAAGTGGTAAGTTACGAATCTCGACCGCGAAGCTGTATCAAATATGTCATGTAAGTAATACCACCTGAAAGTTATTGGAAACAGAAAGATTTCATATTGTCGTGAAAAATCTCATTTGTATGTACCGATTAATTAGGAATCGCTTACTTAGGAATTACCTACAAATTCAGAGCAAGTCAATTCAGTTGAACTTGACTTCTTGAGAATTCGTTTAAAATATATCTAGATTTTCGAATATTAAATAGAATTTAAATTTAAAACAGGGCTAAACTAATGAGATAGCTAAAGTATGTATTAAGTTGTCCAAAAAGTATTGACCTTTTTTGAGCCAAGATCGAAGCAAACATTTTTTTATAATTTACAATAATCTTGCGAGACTAAATATGCGCCATTTCGATCGATAACCGTCTGGTAACACCATAACCTCATCACAGTATAACTTTTTAAATGGTTTCCGAGCGACAGATTGTGACAAATCAGAAGCTGAATTAACACCACTTAGGGATTTCTGCAGAGACTGAAACAGATGACAATCGGATAGCGCACGATCCGGACCATACAGCAGATGCATTGAAAGGTTCCATCTTTCCCAAATTTTACTGCAACATATAGTCTATAATGGAAAACGACGCCTTTTTTGGTAAATAGCTTTACTAGTTCCGGCCGCTCGTTCTCAGTCGTCTATTATAATCTTACTAATTGCAAACAACAGAGATCCGAAACAGTCGTTTTGCCAGGCGGCAGCGCTCATAATCTGAAGTTCCTTTCCAATCCAACTAAACACGTAGCAACACATTTTTCTGGCGTCAATCTGGGCATTGCCATTTCTGCACATTGTTACTGTATGCGATCTATTTATGATCACCCGTAATCAAGCACTTTAAAAATGGCTCTATTATGTTCCGTTTCGAAGAAGGCAATACAATCAAATTAATTCTTTTACATTACTTTGAGCGGCAGTCAAGCATTGAACTTCTTTTGCACCCAGTTTCCTTCGAATGTTTTCAAATAGCTTAACGGTAAACGTTTTTAAATTTCCTATCGCTGTCATGGTTGCCCATGTCGGTCTTGCTCACCTCTGCTATTTGTTTCACTAATTTCTTTCGTAAGTGGTCGACCACAACGAGGAACATGTTCCACATAGAGGTTTTTAGAAGCGAAAGACCGATATAGCTATTTTTAGGTTTTTTTCTACTAATAACGCGCCTGGCCCGTAAACGACCCATTTTTTTATGAGCCTAGGTAGCATTTGTTGTGATAAACTGTAAGGCACCGAAAAATTTTACAGAAATTTCGCTCGTTCATTTCAAGATGCACTGTCTTAACAGTGTTAGAACACCTGCTACCTTCAGTCTCAGATTTCAAACCACACTACACGACTTACATTACCTGAGCTCTCTAGCTTCAAAACGGTCAATAGTTTTTCGACAGCCCCACATATACATATACAACTTTTTGTTTGCAACTTTGCAAGTTTATGTGCTTACGCAATAAAGATTTCACCTCATTTTAGCACGACTGTGTCCGCTTTCCAACAATAAACACCGACAATGTATCAACCTTCCCGTACAACAACGTCAGCAACAAGTAGCGGCTTCGCAATCGACAACAGCCATTTCGTCTCAATCAGCAATTGCCATTCATCGTCCAGCAAACATGTGAAGTACGATGCCGGCAGCCATAAATCTCCCAAAAGACGCTAGGGAATAAAACCCGCTGGTTACCAATACCCAGAAAAGTGTTAGGCATTTGATAAACATATTGGAATCGAAGTTCATCCCTTAAATTGGACAGCACACCCATGTTTCTGAATGTATTCTCATCAAGGGCGCACCCACTTAGGGCAATGATAATACCAACATAAAGGCATGATGGCCTATTTGGCGGAAAACTCGATGTACAAACGCTGTATATACAAATAGATGGACATCCAAGTATAAGCTCGGACTGTGTGATTCGGAGCAATGCAAGCAAGCATGACAAAGAGGCCTTGGAGAGCAGATGAAGACGTTATTGGCAAATAATAACAAGCCAGATAAATCACTGAACAAAACCATAGACATAGGGATAGGCAATAGGTTCAAGACAATGTACCAGCAGTTACAAATGGGACGAAGCGACTATGACTATACCATGCGTCGACGATTCAAGATCAGCTTAATAGTATTAAGGTCAAATTAGTTTTTAAGGTAGGGGTTGAAATCTATCAACTTACGTTGATCCGCCCTGGAAAATGTTGGCATTGACACAGAAGCCCAGTAATAGAATGGTGATCGTCTGCACGAAGACACCGGTTTGAACTAAGGATATGCATTATCCTATTACTTTGATGCGATTAAATCGGGGCAGAAAAAACGATTCAGTGGCCACTTAATTTTGTCAAATCATCGCTGTGATCCGCGGGCTGCTTTTTTTCTCGCTATTAGCATTACGATAACTTACATGCTGACAAATCATAGTTATAACATATATACATACACACACAATATCTAATAATAATAATAATAATAATCAGAGCAGCATCAGTAGTAAGTATAATAACAGATCTTCACTTAGTTATATACGACAATTTATACACGATTACGATTGTTTTAAGGGTAACCGTGATGTGGGCAGACCTATGGCGCAAATGAAATGATTTCCAGTTGCACACACGCTCACAAAGAGCTAGATACTATATAATAGATAATATATAATAGATATAACGGATAACATTTCCTATAGATATTTGCACAGTCGGTCTTGAGTAACATCTGCTACATCGACCAAAAATATTACCCAATAGAAAAAATCCCTGCTATTTCGTCTTTCTATCTAAAAATAGCACTACATATGCTACTGCGTCAATGAACTTCTTTGCTGTGTGCATATGTCCAATACTGCGGAGCAACTTCCCGCACTACTATCTTCATCAACGAGGACAGCCGGTAATATCGCTTAGATACGAAAAATCAATGGAGAAAAAATAATCCTGATTAGAAGACAGGAGTAATTACCGTTTTCGACCCGGAACGTATGCTGGGATTGATGACAGGTTACTTGCAAAATCGATACATTGACGTGATGAACACTGACGTCTATATATTAGTAGTTATGACTATGGTGTTAACACCAAAAGGGCATACGGACGCTCAGTGGATACCACCTATAAAAAAAATATTGCAGATTACACTTGCTAGTTGCCGGTTATATATATATAACTGCCATAACACATTGTATATAAATGATCCAGTATACTTATAAAATGGTACATGCGGGATAACGTCGACAATGGTAACTACTAATACAAATCAAGCCTTCAAAGAAAATGGCAGGTCATCAATGCTATGCCACACCCATTCATATATATATATATATATATATACACACTGTGACTTGAAATGATTACTTAACTATTATCTTTCCCTCTGAAGAACAATGATCAGGGTGATGATTTTTTCAATACTACTTAGCTATTTTAATTGGCACTTTTTTTACCACTGTCGACATTTTGCCAGGCTTGTTGTGCATCTTTTCTCAGAAACACCTAATGGTGAGGCTATACTATCATCCTAATTAGTAGGGGGTAATTAAGACACACGAAACGTTTGGTATGTTATGCCTAGAAATCTATGTTTCCCTACATTTTAAATTCTCTCCTAATTCTTTTTCGTTTTTTCGTTAACATCATACGTATTTGGAACTCGATTGAAGTCTGCTTCTTGTTTGACAACTTCCTAAATGTCTCGCCTTGTTTTGATCGAGCCTCTCGAGAAGGATTTGTTTTGAAGAAGACAACAAATATTTAAATTGTCTAATACATTTGTCTAAGAGCGTTACGTTTTACCCACTAGTCTTGTATGATATAAACTAATTGTCAAATACTCCGTATAATTTACTGCCATGCCAATCAAAGAATCAGTTAATTAGTCTCCGGCACGAGCTAAAATTCAGAGATAACAACAGAATTAATAAGGCATAACCTGAATAAAATGGGCTAACCCTCTTAGAATAATTAGTGCTGTCATCAGTGTATAGCAACATCTGTAATATATGTATAACAAATGTAGCCAACGGCATTGTAACTTAATTCAGTTAAAGCTGAACTACACGATTAATAATGAATGAGTAAATTTCTACGTAACATCGCCTCGTCCAACTTCGAATCCCATTCACTTACCCTGACGCCGACCCTACGAGATATTTCTGCTACGTGCAAAGCCGTGTTATATCAGGGATGTCGCTCAAAACTCCCGCATAAAGTATCCGGGACAGAAGCAATCGTTTATACCTTCCTAATGATATTCCCTGACCACCTCCGTTCCTTCACCCTTTTGGACAAGTTGATAACATGAACTACATAGTCAACTCTCCAGCATCTTGGGTCCCATTTGTAATTTAATAGACAATGAAATGATACCTTTCCCACCTCACGCTCCGTGAAATCAATAGACTTCACTTTCGACCACTACATTTTGATTCACTCCACCAGCTCCCTAATTGTTCCCTTATCTTAGATTTCGTCTATTATCACACTTGTTATGAATAGTCATAAACCTGTCACAGCGCGCTACAGTGTTCAAATACGCTGAAATCATGAACCATGGACACCAAGACCGCGACCCTTCGCAACAGGGCGCGCGGTCGTCTGCTTCAAACTTGAAAACACCGAAGGACGCCAATGTAGAGCAGCTCGCCCAAAAATGCATAAAAAAAAAAAGATGAAAAAAGCGGTCTCGAAAACATACAGACGCAGGTGAACGTTGTTAAGTCGGCGATCCTTTCGGAGGCAATTTCAACAAACAAAAAAAAGAATAAAAGCCAATAATTACATACAAAGCATACGAACAGTGGAACGTGTTAAAAAATTCAAATGAAAAAAAAAAACAAAAATAGGAGAAAAATTAAAAATAAATATGCTGAAAAGTGTCGCTGATGATAGCAGGTATACACAAGAATACTGCTAAAAAGACAAAGCAACCACTTTTAAACCGTAAAATGGAAGTACATTTCATAGAAAAAAAAAAGTTGAAATAATTATCAAAAATACACCGACAAGGCACTTCCATAAGAAAAAGCAAGTAAACAAAAACTTTTTCAATTTATTTTGTACGGCAGCCTATCAGCAACAACAACAACAACAACAACAACATGCGGCATCTTCCTCTTCGAAAAGCGAATGATCGATCTAAAAGCACAATACTTGTTGTTAGGCTGTCAACCAGCATCACTGTAGGATTGTGACATTTGCAATTGGCAATTACAATGGTGTGACATGCTAAGGTGACACTTGTCTGGGCATGTTTAACACGTTACCGTCAAGAAGCGACACCGTTTGAGAGGGCGCGAGATTCGAAGCTCTTCGCCAGTCTTGGGATTACGTTCTCTTGTCGCCTCAAGTCCATCGAGGCTTATTTGTACGACAGACACTCGCCAAAGCTAACTGGGAAATGCTCGCTCCCTCAACAGCCCGAAGGCTGTTGAGGGAGTTCTTTCGTGTGAGGAATCTGTCGTCACCGAAGGACGCCTAAGAGGTGCCGATCTTCGAAGTAGATCAATGGGCTTATCAGAACAATGGAATATGCCAATACCACCCAGTAAGGAAGATGCTCAGTAACGTATCCACACACTATCAAGACGGTTATATAACTTGATCATTTCACCACTTACTAGGAGTCTATGACCAGCGTTACTGGATCTCAGTAACATAAACATTGATGAATCTTAGGTACATCGCAATCCTACGCAAAAAACGAGAAACAAGGACAACAATGGGATGTCTAAAGACAGCTACCTAGAAATCATGCCACCTACCAAATATAGACTTGAGAACAACCCTAGCACGCATTATTGAGATGATTAAGAATAGGTGGAACATCGAGCATCGCGATTTTCGTGGGTCCACTTCATTGCGCATCGTCCCACAACAGCTGAAACGCATATTCAAATGGGTTGAAGAAACCACAACATTAAGAATGAACTACAATAACAAATGACAGTTCCTACCAAACAGTTTTCGACCCAATTGAAGATCGACACAGAATGGCAAGCGAATAGACTTAGAAACTTGCAAATAAGGCCACAGGCCAAACAAGCATGGATACCCGTTCACAACACTAATCAAAAACGGCAATTTTCAGCAGATATAAGAATATCACACTCACTCATTAACAGACGTACATACAGGCATTGAACGTATTAACGGCCTCTCAATTCAGCCCTGTGGACCCCTATATGTCATGGCAAAACAAAGAGTCAGACTAGAGTGACTCTAACACGTAACCAGATCAGAGGCCAGTTAGTGACTCATCAATTAAACGAAGAAGCAACTACGATCCGTCAACAAGTCTGCTATCGATGCACCTTCCTATCTATAAACTATGCTAATTTAGAATAAACACACTAGCACCCGCATTTCCAATCAAGTCTAGCGTACAACAGCAATTATGAAACCCAGCTGACTGTCGCATTCATTCGGGCATCTACCAGGGTGATGGGCGAACCCAATAAAATGGGTTCTTTAGGTTGAGTTTTTTTCGCGTAACCAGGCACGAGCCCTTTCGATGGAAAAATAAATTTATCGGGCGAGAGGGTATTAACACTGTGCTCGCTTGCTGCGTTGGTTAACTTAATAATTAATAGAGTGTGACAATTCGATTGGGATCTAATATGGCCGACGTGAGTACCTAAAAGCTCGGCTTTCAAAAAAAATCTGTGCCAGTTCTTATGGAAGGTCAAGTGCCAGCTCGCATTATATGCGGCTACTGGAATAGCTCTGGTGGTGACGTATGTTGCATCGAAAAGCTGTAGTAAGTAATGTTGATTAATGGGACATAAACGGACCTAGATTCTGACAGCTGCTCCCTATACACGGCCAGAAGACAGTGCAGACTTTGTTTGTTGTTTTGCTCCTGTCACTCGTGATTCTCTGTCAATAGCTTTTACTTTATGCGACACCACAGCGAGACAATACGATAGCTCGGACAAAGCTGCTGACAGCGACCAGTCGAACAAGCCGATAACCGAGGCGGACGCAGTACGAGCTCATGGCAACGGTCCGATGCGACTAGGACAAAGCAGACACGAAAAACAGGTCCCTCTAAAGCAAAACACTACTTGCAGCTTTGAGAATAAGCAACGAAATCGACACAAGAAGCCCGACATAACAGGAACCCCGTTTATCAACAACAATGACCTTAACAACAATGCCAGCTTTTGTTTTGCATAAGAAAAGCAAAGCATTGACTCTGGCTGAGCGCGAGCGAATTAAAGGGTTGTGTAGGATGAAGTAGTGCTTCGGCTTTATTTTGGAGCATTTCTGCAACTTTCATGGGTGGCCAATGTAAAAACACCACCCTTTATACGCAGAAAGCATTCCGTAGAGCAAAATAAAAGTAAAAAGGCAAAGAAAAAAAGAGTCACATAATGATTGTCATTCATTCACAGCCGCCAACATTTCTGACGTTACTTTAGTTAGCCACAAGTTTACACTTGTGGCTAACTAAAGCAACAGGCAGCAGATGAATGGCCGTGTAGGTTAGGGGAACATTTCTGAAAAAGATAGAAGAGATCGACAAACAAATCATAATGATTAGTCTACCTTTCGCAGTTTCTGATAGTTCGACAACTTCTAGAACCGTTCATTGATTGCAAAACAGTAGGGAGGCATCTAACTGGTCAAGGGCTTTACGACAAGCTGGCGGTATAGAATTGCTATTGATATCGGGAACACTAATAAGTTGGAATTAATTGTGGCTTTGAACCGCCATGGAGACAAAGGGTACGAAACATATAGGCCTGCGTTAGCAGACGAAGGTCTTAGGACGTGAGTCACGACGACAGGGTACTCTGCACATTCACGGACAGAACGGTCAGCTAGGCATCCATATTAGGGATAGAAGACAGGAATATTTCATTATATGTAGTACTAACCGCATGCGAGACAACTAGTATATGGATGTATGAACCAATAGGACGTCGTAGTGGGGTCCATGGACTCATCTGCACACAAAGTTGAGAAATGAA